TTTTTACTTAAGTATAATTTTTAAAATATTTCAAAACCACATTTCCTTGCACGCATAACCGCGAAAACGAACACCAGTAAACTTGGGGCGAACTGGTCTGGGGCGAATGTGCATTGGGGCGAACTGACTGACCACCGCTATCACTCGCCAGACATTGTCTGCTATTAAAGTTACGCCAGTTTGACTTGTGACGTTGACCGACATTAACAACTTGCTCGGAAAATGTGTTATCATACACATTACTTAACACTATGGTGAAAACATTCCACCGTGTATCAATTGATTCACTATTCAGTACACTTTCCAAGTCTGTGTGCCTTGATTATTAAATCGATTTATTATAATTTTTCTTCGAATACAAGAAAATCTTCCTTGGAGATTAATTTATTATAGGAACAGGAATGGATACTTACGAGTGAAATGTTGGATACATGCAACGTCCACAAGTCTTCCACGAAATCTCATATCTATATACAAATGGTATGCAGCTGAGTATAAAAATAAAACCAGAATTCGTTCAGATCATAACTCCAAAAAGTTTATTTTTGCCGCCATGTTGAATCTCGCGTTCGTTTTCCGCTCTCGCGAGACCGGCGGTAGAGGGCGACACGATTTGTCATCGCTGGTTTGCTCGGGAACGACATTTCAAATTACGTACTGTGCCACACGTGACTCGCCCGACTTGCATGCTGGTACAAAAAGCCATAAACACCGAGCAACCGAAAGGAAAACACAAAACCATACTGTGCTGAAACAGTTTTAACTGTTAAGTAGGTTTAAAATCACCTTCCTCGGGCCACGGCGCGGTGGCCTAGTGGATAAGGCGTTGGCCTCCGGAGCCAAAGATCGGGGGTTCAAATCCCCCTCGCGTCGGCTATAACTTTTATCATCAATTAAAATTGCCTGACAAGGGCGTGCTTGCTGTACGTGCAGTTTATTTCGATCGTTCACACACGTGGGTATTTTCCATGGACGATTTATGTCGCTGATCATCCGCATGACCTCCACCGATACAAGAGCAAATCAACACAGCAAGGATCATTAAAAAGGAAAGTTACTTCCAATTTCCAATGGTTGTGATAGGCCCTAGTCAGTCCTGTGGATAAACAGATCATCCGCATGACCTCCACCGATACAAGAGCAAATCAACACAGCAAGGATCATTGAAAAGGAAAGTTACTTCCAATTTCCAATGGTTGTGATAGGCCCTAGTCAGTCCTGTGGACAAACAGATCATGCGCAGTGTCCAAGTGTTCTCCGAAGAACGAGGCAAATATGGATATAGTGGATTCTTATTTCAGGATTATAACCAGACTGGTAGCCTGCGTGTGTGGGTGGAGATCGCCAAAAATAAATATTACATGTAAAGTCAGGGCGAATGTAATTTTTTTTTCAAACTAACTTTCACGTTGGAGACGGTGGTTTTCGCTATTCTGGCGGGTCGACTATTGTGACTCAGAATTTAAATCATTTGCCGTAATTGTGATGTTATCATGCAAGAGACATTCGCCTAAAGTGTGGCCCAGAATTTTGCGAAGAGAATGTACACACATGCAAAAATATAATATACCCGTGGCAAAATCTAAAGTTATGATCTTTAATAACCCAGGGAAAACGTTAATAAAATTTACAAATAATGGTCTTGAACTTGAAAATGTACCATTCTTACATATTTATACCTAAAAATAACAACTAAAGTTAAACCAATTAGAGCACAAGAGGATTTCAAACATAGAGCCATGAAATCGTTGATTAAGCTGAAGCAGCTTCTCTTTGTAGAAATAACATCCATGGAGGTAACATCCCAGTCTAATTACAACTTACCATGTTTGACTCCAACGTCGGTAAAACTATTTTGCTGTGTCTATTGTAGCGAACTTTGGATAAGTGACCACGGTGATAAAATGTTTAACCTCATGCTCCAAATAAAAAAAAAACACACAACAAATTCTTTAAAACACTGCTTCAGGAAAACTCTATGACCACTAGTTTAGCGTGCCTAAAGAAATTAGGCAGATATCCACTATTACATCCAAGTGTAAAACAAATGATTACATACCGGATTGAAATTAAAAAAAATGAAAGAAAATACATTGCTTGCGGAAGCATAAAAACTAGGTTTAAATCTGGATAACAATAATATTGAACATTGGGTCACTGGCATGGAAAATCTCTTAAACAAATTTAATTTTGTGGACCAAAAAATAATGCAATTACATTACCAGTTTTAGAAATCTTGTTTCATCAATACTATAAAGAGCCAATTAATCGTGACAAGAGGGGTGCGTACTTATAGGGAGTTAAAACGAGCTTTGATCTGGAACTGTATCTAGAAATAAAACAAACTGTTTATATGGTGTCCATGACAACACTGAGGATAAGTGCGCATGTGCTTCAGATAGAAGTAGGGAGACACCAAAACATTGACATTAAGAATGTCCTATTACAGAAATCTGTAAATTGATTCAAACAAAGGGAGAACAATATAACATTAATACAACCAGCTGCCCCCTCACAAACAACAATTAGCTAATTCTATTCAATGGAGCTTTTATTTTTGTTCTGTCGTGATTTTCCTTTTTTCTGTATTTTTTTTTTATTGTCATGTTATCAAAATTTTTGTGCGGATAATGTTCAATAAAGATTGTCAATACTACTTTCTATTTTCAAATTAACCATACTACTAGTGTTTATCGAATAGCTATAAAAACCGGACAAATCGGACTTATGCCGAGACTTTGTCATTGAGATCACGGACTCGCACTATGTTCATTGCTGTGAACGTGCTACACAGCGTCACTGGTAATGACAATTGTAATACATTGATGCGTCAAATTGTCTGGCTGGATGACCGCGACATCCACTCATAACTTGAGACATTTCCACTGTGGATAGCAAATCAGTGCCCCTCGTCTACGAAAAAATGGCCCAACTTGCCCCAAACTGTTTAGCTACAGTTCCATACTCATCGACATCCACGACTTCCCTTTCTTTATGTACATATTATTGGTCAGATATTGTAAAATAGTCAATATAGTAAAAGCTATGCAAGTTTAATACATAAAAGGCATGTTATGGTTTGATTTGCGTGCCAAGATCTGGAAAACTTGAGATGATATATTTGACTTTTAGCGTTAAAATATCTTTCATTATCTGAACAGGGGAAATTTGGAGATGAATCGTCACCATGGCGACAAATACCGCCACGAACACTGTTTGGAATAAACTACGTCCATGACTAATATCTCATACTGCATGGGAAATGACCAACATCTTGATTGGCAATCACCAACGTAGTGGCGAGGCACCATTCTTATACAACATGAGATATGTACCCTAATCATATATGGAGCTCGAGGTAACAAGTTTAGAAACAACGAAAATTTTAAACCTGAATTCGAGTAATTGCGTTGAGAAGGCGCTATATTTCGGACATAAATATACCACTAAAACCCGTTGTTCAATCGATTGGAAGCGGGCGTTTATTTATCAGCCAAATTATAAGTTGCCCAGGTGTATTGTGTTCAGCCATTCGCCATTGTCATGCTTTCTGAAACTTGAATCAGTGTACACTTGTTTATCGGGTCAAATGGGGTGAAATGAACAAATAGTTTGACGACAGCCATTGAGTTGGACCCATAACACTCACGACCATTGTAATGAGACAGATGCCGAATACACATAGATTTGGCTATCACGTGGGAAGGGAAATCACCGTGAGACTGTCAAAGGTAGGCTTCTATGTCACGGTGTTCACATTTCATTGAGCAGATACCAATGCATATCCAGGCCAGTTTCATGGTACAGTATGACTTCTGACAGTATGACTTAGTTAGGCGACGAGGGCTGTTTCAACTTCGAGAACGTTGAACACCATATCTAAGCTTATTTAGGTTATCCGTTCAAACCTAGCCCGGGGGGTCACTAACTTAACAACGGTAAGGCGTCCGTTACGGTTTTTGGCATTTTTAGGAATCAAAGGGGTCGATTTTTTTGCTGTTTTGATCATAATGTGTGATAGCATTAACAGATACATTTTACTATGATTTTGAGCTAGTGCATATGTAATAAGGGATGGGTTTCTTGTAAATTTGTTTCAAGGGGTGGGTTTATTTTTATTTGTTACACCCGTGTATGAATAATACAAGTGACCCTCACCCCCGGGGAACCTAGATGGTTTACGTAGGCATTTACATGTGAATAATATCAATAGTATAAATTATGGAAAATCATATAAATTATGGAAAATCATGGTGTGAATTACAGAACTCTGCGAGGCGGATGCACTCTGACCCGCCAGTTGAATAATCTTGATGGTGATAGAAAATAGTTTTGGCCTCAGGTCATCCACCAATAAAGTCAACATTGCGAGTAGGATCACGTGAGCTCCGTGAGTGGGTCGACTGTACAGTGCCTTTGTTCGAACCGACCGGGATATAGTATAATTTGCATCCATTCATCTGAACTACTCGCATAGACTGATTCCTGACGGACAAGACGGAATAGACACGTTCAAGGTCATCGCAAGTCACGAGTATACATACTCGTTGGATTTACTAGCATATCCCGTCGACAAGAGACGACGCCTTTGAAAAGAAATCCTGTATCCGTATTTGGAACTACTGACGTTTTATATTCTCAGAAGTTGTTATTTTTTAAAATAACAATTGGAGCGCGGCAATAATTTGTTGGTTGTAGGCAGCGTAATACTTAGGACCAAAAGGGGCGTGTCTGTGTCGTCACATCTTTTTATAGTTGTAGCGCCGATTGCGATATGGCACGAGTTGGTGCTAGTACAACTAGTATTTCCGTGTCATATAGAAATGTCTAACAAAGGGCCAGTTCTCAAGAATAACAATACACGGACATACCAAAATGAGAACATACCGAACAGCGATACCATGACTGACAGATGGACGGAAACACTGTACTGTTGTTGTTGGTGCCGTGCAGATTCTCCGGTCCCGGAGATTATAGAGCCTAACGAGAGAACCAGATTGCTAAGGTACCGTATACATACCGTTGTTTTTCATGCGTACTTTATAGACTGCTTGCATCGAAGTGGTATTTTTCTTTTGAGATCATGTCGTCTTGAAATGATTTCATGGCGGGGGTTTTGAAGTTATTAATCGCATTAACCTGCGCGAAATCGCTGGAATGAATTGTGATGTCCTGGAAACGATCGTGATTGTTAAACAATTATCAATATAAGACATACTTGTAGATGATTAGGACAAAGTCCCTCTATCTCCAGTAGTGGGAATGTTACTAGGGTAACGTCTTTAGAGGATGGGGCATTAATTCGTTACCGCTCACTGGCACTTGGTGTAAACAAAACGCATATTAAATTTTTCGGGCTGAAAGTTTCGTACTACAAAATCATGCAACACATTATGTTGTTTGAAAACACATACCAAAAAAAAACAAAAAAACAATACCGCTACAGTTTTACTTAGTGGGATATAGAAACGAAACAGAAACAGCAGGAAATTGCCCCCCTCCCTATAGCCAATTGTTTCCCTCAAATCAAACTTCAAGACAAGACTCAGACTAATAATAGAGGAAACTGAACTACACACAGTGTTCAGTCGGCTGTCACTTGGAAGTGTGACAGATTAAAACAGGAATGTTCTGAATAAAAAGGTTAAACATGTATCGAAACATCCAATTATAGCAATACTATTATTGATTTAAACAGTGGTGACGCTAGGACGGTCCATTTATTTTGAGGAAAACTCTATATACAATTAGTTTTTTGGGTCGTCTAGCCTGGCCAGAACACAGGTGCCTTGTTATGTCCGATTATAGAACGGAAGGTACAAACAGGAGTTTCGTGACGTACTCGATTGGCTGTAAGAGTTGATGTTACGATA